CCGGCGGCCGCGGGGAGGGTGTGGGCGTGCAGGCGGCTTTTCCACAGGCCGGCGCGTCCGTGCGCGGCCGCATCGGGAATCCGAGATGAAGGCTAGCTCGAAGAAAACATCATAGTCATTAGCACCTCTTAATAACTACGCAGGAGCTGGGTGCGTGTGCGTGATTAAGAGGCCGTAAGAAGGAAGTAGGACGTAGCAGGGTGGTTTGGTAGTTTCACAGACGTCCGGTCGGAGCACAGGCCACAGCGTCACACGTTAAAATACCGCGGCAGGTCTGTCACGTGTAGGGAGGGGGTGAAATCACTGGGGCCTCCTTTGCTTGCTCTGCGTCTAGCAAGCTGCGTTCTGGTCCCTTTCTCTTTGGCATTGTGTTTCCCAAGTCGTGTTTTTATTAAACTTGCTTTACACGACGTGTTGCCGGTTCTCTAAAGTTGCATCAGTAAAGAAACTTTCCATGTAGTTCTGGTCATGGTTGTGCTGAGTTTGGCAAACCGGCTTGTTCATGTGGAGGGTGTTTCGATAAAAGAACCAAACCTGTGACCGGTTCTAAGTTTTAATTAAAAGAAAAAATAATTCCGCCAGCTAGAACATATTTGATTCCAAGTACACAGCTTTCTGTTATAATGGGTTTATGTTCAAGCGTATGAAAGCGAGAGATTCGAATTACAAACTTTCCAAGCAATTAGATTAACTGGCTTTCAAAATTGGCTTTAGTATGTAGCCATTATCAGATCAGACTTTGGTGTACCGATGATATCTGTATGTAAGAGGTAAAAGCTACTGTCTCATCTTTTTAATAGGCAGATATTTCACCTGTTATCATCAGCTCCCTCGCTTCAGAGAGCTTTTAATTTATTCAGCCATTGTTTAGGATGAGGCAATTTGAATGCTTGTTTTAACACACTTTGCTTTCCTTCGATAAAAACCTGTGGTACGGCTTACTCAAAAAGAATAAGAAGTTAGCACAGCTCAGTACTGTGATATGATAATGTCAAGGCAGAAGTTGAAGGTGATTCAAATGCTTCTCCTCCTTTCTAATGACAGAATTCTGTAAGGACAGACGTTATCACTGTCATTAGTTGAGCAACCTGTTCAACCCTATGTTTTGTGACTTAGTTTCTCATTTGTCAGATGCGGGAACAAATACAGCTCTTTCACCTGAGCAGTGCTTGCATTCAGAGTTTTAGAATGTGCCTCTTACAAAAATGCTGTTACAAGCATCCAAATGTTACAAGTATTTTTCAGACTTTGGGAAGCACGCATATTTTATTCTACGCCTAGTCCAGTTCAGCTAAAAGTATTTCTCGTCTGTATCAAACTTGCATCTGGCACGTATCTGGAAGCACGTGTGTAAAATATACTTAAATGATATTGTGTGATTATACTTTTGCAACATTTTTAGAATTTGATGTTCTTGGCAAATACCTAGAAAGCATTTGCTGATCTCTTGGTTTTGTTTGTTGGTTTGGTTTTTTTTCCCCATAGATCATTCTATCCATTTACTGAAACCTTGAAATAGGAGCTCTGAGGAGGAATGGTTACTCTTACAGTAATAGTGGTTTAATTTTGATTCCAAACTAGCTGCCTTTTCTTGGTTTGGCCTAATTCTTAGCTACATGTCGGGCTATGCTTATTAAACAGCTAGTAACAACTAGCTCGGGTTTTGAAAAACATCTTTGAAGGTGTGTTTGACGTTACCAGCTGTCTGTAAACTAGGGATCTCAAAGCTCTTCCAAAAACTAATTAGGCCTGATGACACATTTGCGAGGTATGCGCACATTTCAAAGTTGTGACTTTTCTGAATTTGAGTCATAGTCCGGAGTAAAACCCAGTCAATCTTGTTTAATCACTAAACTAGAAATATTCTTAGGTAATCTGAAACTGCACTTCTCCCTTCAGATTTTTTGAATGGTTATGTTTTGAGAGGTTGTTTATTTTATAGCTATTGCTCTGTAGGTATAGCACAGTTTAGCATTAAGTGTATATTCCCTGTGATTTTGAAATTGTTACTAAAGTGGACTGTCCAGTTGCTCACGACTAAAATGGGAACTGGTGACTCACTCAACAAAAGCTCCAGCACAATCAGCAAAAGTACAGCATGGGTAGGTGTGTCCACTTGGTAACAAGTTAACTGCTGAATGGAATTGCCTCCTGCAAACTAGTGCCCAGCCTTTTATGGCTGAAATGGCATGAAAGTAAGCCAGTTGTACTAGTAAGTGAATTTTAATGAGAGTAGCTTGTACCTGGTTGCAGATGTATTCTCGTAATGTTTTAATATCTGTTGTGGAATGACATTTCTTGTACTTCTGGTCCATAGAAGAGGTGAGGAGAGCTGTTGAGGGTTTCCATGCTGTCCTTGGCTTTGTGGAGAAATTGCGTTGATCTAAAATACGTGCTGACTATTAGTTGAGAGTGGTAATGCTTGCAAAGGCTAGTATGGACCCACTTTGAGTCAGACGTTTGGGAAACGTGTCCAGGAACACATATTTTTGAGGAGTGTCAGGATTATTCTAGAAGCAATTAGCATGCACTAGAAAAGCCTCTTTTCTAGTGAAGGAAGCCCTGTTACTACTTCTGGAAATAATGAACTGTTTGTTGCTGGCACTTTTGCTGGTGCTGGCAGTAATAATTCCAATGACTTCCAGGGCAATACCAAAGCCTTAGATGTTTCTGCTGTGGCCAGTCTGATATCCACAGTTCTTATTTTTTTGGCCGTCTTCCCCCCCCCCACACCCCTTTGTAATGTAATGCCTTCCAATGCTTTTGTTTCTCATTATCAGTATCTCAGTTGTCTTTTCTCTCCTGTTTAATTTATATTAAAGTTTGTGAAAGCTTTGTTAACTTATTTAAAAGAGTGGCAATGCTTATATTTTTTGTGGCTTTGGTTTAAATCAGTTGACTGGCTAGTGTCATGTGAATATGGCAATAGTATCAATAGATTTTTAAATTTTTTTACAAGCAAATGTTAGACATCTGTCTCGTTAACTTCTACAGATGTCTTTCAGAGAATATAATCTTCACATTCACTTGTAATCTGAAAACATGGCAAGAAGGGACATAAAACGTGGTGTACCAGCTGAACCAGAGGCCGATTGCAGATTTTCTTTGGCCATGATATCCAACAACATAGCTAAAGATAAAAGCAGCACTTAAAGAACAAAAACGTAGGGGTTTTCACAATGTGGTTGGTCCTTAGTCCTTCTCCTAAGGAAAGCAAATAACTGGCATGGTTACTGTTTTTAAACTAATACTAAACTGATTTCGGTCTTGTTAGCATCACATTGCTCTGCTATGTGCAAATTGCAGTGAAGTGAGTTAGTACCAACGGGTGTGACTTCAGCTATTTACTGGGACTTTTTTCAGTGTTCTTCCAGACCTACAGGAACAATGATGAAAAGGGGCTAATGTAGGAGATCATAAAATAAGTCTGCCATACTTGAGAACTGTTGCTCTTTCTTGCTTAAATACCTTGTTGACTTAAAACATCACAGACATGTCTTGTTGCTTTGAAGGGACGTATGAAAACTGAAGAAGTCTTGATACCTCCCTATCTAAATACACCGAGATCTTGAATTCAGGCTTTGAAAAGTTAGTTATGGAGTTCTACTGGAAAAACTGCTCCATTGGAGTAATAAAACCTGCTTACTTAATTTTGCTGTTTTAACACTTGCTCCTTCGTTGAGCTTACATATATTTCATCATGAGCTTTTAATATATACATAATTTGAGATTTTCAAAATTAAGTAGTGGTTTTAAATCTCTTTGAACTGTCCCTTGCCCGGAAGTCCATCACGGATTTTTTTTGTCACTAAGGAAGCAGTTGTGTGGAACAGCTGCCTGAACCAGGCTTGAACTCCACCTAGCAAAGAAATCTTGTCAGTTTAGGGGTATTGGTGATTTAGGAGTTCTTATGTTAGTGTTTGCAAAAGGCCTCATATAGGCACAAGCTGTACCCCTAAAAGCATTTTTATTGATACAGTATGCATCTGCACGATGTGGGAGTGGCCAGCTGAATTTCAGAAATGTTAAAACTTTTCCTCCTGTGGAGTAAGTCGTAATTGTCATCACTTGATAGATTTTTCTCCTCTCACCGTCCCATCTTTTCGTAGTGGGGTCCAATCCCTTAGGCTACTGGCATTTTTACAGCTTGTTCAGCTGACTTGTGCTTCTTCCTAAATGTGGCTTTTGCTGAGGAGTTTTTGCCAGTTTTAACTTGCATAAACCGGAGTGGGGTTTATTTACATTGGAGGTTTGGGTTTGCATCTTGGTGGTGGTGCTGGACTTAAAATTGTAACAATTTCATAAAGAATTGTACTTCAAATGCTATTTGTGTGCTTATTACGATAACTTTAGCATTTCCTACTAATTCCATTATGTTTTTCCAGCTGAACGAGCTTTGGATACCATGAACTTCGATGTCATTAAAGGCAAACCAGTGCGCATCATGTGGTCTCAGCGTGATCCGTCTCTACGCAAAAGCGGTGTAGGAAACATTTTCATCAAAAACTTGGACAAATCAATTGATAACAAAGCTTTATATGACACATTTTCTGCTTTTGGAAACATCCTATCTTGTAAGGTTAGTGGAAAATTATTGGTGCACTTAATGGTTTGACACACCTCCCCCCCCCTCAATTTACACTGGAAACATTCCATGGGTGTTACAACAGGGTTTTTCTTTAATAGGTGGTATGTGATGAAAATGGATCCAAGGGTTATGGGTTTGTACATTTTGAGACACAAGAAGCTGCAGAAAGAGCTATTGAAAAAATGAATGGTATGCTGCTTAATGACCGCAAAGTGTAAGTACACAAATACATGGTTGGGGATCAACAGACTGAAATTCATTTTACAGTGGACAAATACTTAAAGTTTACCTAGAAAAGACAGGTTGTTCTAAAAATTTCTTATTTTAAAGAGGATTTAGAATTTTAGTGCTAGGAATACTATGAGTTGTATCCCCTGCGTATTCTAAAGGCAAGAGTAAGGTCAGAAAAGGCTAATAATGCAATCTGGGGAAAACATTGTTATTAGTTGTCTTACAAGTCAATGTTGTAACAAGGATTTGGGAACTCCTCTGGTTTTCTGATCTTACTAGTCTGTGATAGAATACAGTCCTTCGGGTATTCTGAATAATGCTTCCTTTATAAGAGTTGTGAGATAGGTACATTATCCATTTTTTGGATGAAACTTGAAGCTCTAGAGTTAGTCCTGAATAGCAGTCGGATTACACTGATGTTTTTCTATGAATGTCTGTTAATAGGCAGGTCTAGGAAATAGCAGTGGAAAATAAAACATACAGAAACCTAATGTTTTAAAAATTATCATTGTTATATACTGTAGGAAAAAAATGTTATTTGGCTACTTGGTTAGTGATATCTAGGCTTGGGGGCAGGGCGAGTGTGCCTCACAGCTATGCCTAAGGGATCATTATGGTATTTGGCATAGTTGCAAAAGAATAGCTGTCTAAATACTTGAGAGGGTTTGGAAAAAGGATAACAGAAATTGGCATCAGCTTACCATCATGGATTATTTTTACATGTAGAGATGGATGGATCAAGCCACGTACAGGGAGGACATATATTTTGAAACTTTAGTTTTCCTGCTTGTTCTGTGCTTGACTGGCACACTGTGGATGTTTTTACTCATCTTCCATCTTTATACAACCTTTTTAAGTTAGTAAAAAAAGGTCGGCATGTAGTCACAGAAGCACATGATTTACGTAAACTTTGTTCAGTAAAATACATCATAAGAGTTAATTTTGCTTTGAATTTCTATTCAGGCTAGGCTTTTAAAAGTGAGTTAAAGTACTTCACTTACTACTAAAATCTGCTGAACACATTGCACTATCATTCTTACCATCCTTGGTTGCTATAAATTGGGTGAAGTTGTCAAAGTTTAAGAAAATGTTGAGTTACAGTATGCTACTTTATTGGATTTGCCAGATTTGGAACTATAAAGTTGGACAATACAATAAAATTTGAGAGCAAAAGTCTACTACAATCAGTGTTAGCCACATAATGTCTGTACTAGAGCAGCTCCTTGGGTTGCAGAGTGTTGCGTTCAGCTTCTGTTCTTTCTCTGATGGTATGAACTGACCTTTGGTGTTCCCAGCCAATTTGCAATGGTATTTGACTAAAGAGCAAGTTGAACTTTTTATTTCTCTATGCCTTTAAAAAAAAAAAAAAAAAAAAACAAACAACTCAGGAAAAAAAATCCCCCAAAATAAAAAAAACAAACATCAAACCAGACAAAAGTCTTGCTTTGATACTGGCTGGAAAGGTGTGTAAGGGAGTGGGGCAGGTTAGTTAAATATCCCTTGCTTAAAAACAGGATTGGAGAATGGTAACTGCTTTAAGGCTGCCAAGTTTTTAGTATGGCAGAGGGATTATGCTGATATCTAGAATTTCTGTTTAGCCACTTTACCTAGTACTCTTTCCCATTGTCCAGCTCCCGTTGTCAAAGGTGTTTCATAAGAGTGAACAATCTCGCCAATGGCTTGAAAGCATTTTTATGCTACTTACTGCGATAAGCACACTGATGTAGCAAGGATAGTGAAATTGTTTTTCCGATGGAGTTTTATCCTAAATATTTTGGCTAAATAATTTCATGCCTATAATGAACAATGAGACTAGTTAAGAATAAAATATGATGCCAGAGGATTAAAATAAATTTTTAAACCTTGACAGACTTGCTTTAACCTACACTATTGTGTTCTCCTGCAACTAGATTTGTTGGAAGGTTTAAATCCCGCAAGGAACGTGAGGCAGAGCTTGGGGCCAGGGCAAAGGAATTTACCAATGTTTACATCAAGAATTTTGGAGAAGACATGGATGATGAGAGACTTAAGGAACTCTTTGGCAAGTTTGGTAATGTCTTAAGCTTCAAGTTTATATAAACATGAGTGAACATCAGCTTACTTCTTATATGGTATCTGTACAGTGCCTTGTAATACAAGGAATCAGCTGGCTGTGTAATGTTGAGTTAAAAAAAAAATTAAAAAGGTTCTGAAAAGTTGGCACTTAATTCCAGTTAGTCTTTTGAATGGGTTTTGCAATTTTTTTTAAGTTGCAAATAGAAGTGTTTTCCATTTTAGTACAGATTGATGTTATGAATTCACTACACTTCCATTGGCAAGCTATTTGGTTCTGTCTTGGTCCTCAGTTATGCACAGGGCAAAATTATGGCAGGCATATGATCATGATCTAGTAATGTATATGATGTGTCACCATCAAAATAGGAAATGGCAAACTCTGTAATTCAGTTACAGATTCTTATACTGGTTCCTAGGGCACATCTCAGCCTCAGCTTTTTTTATCATTATTATTATTTTATTTCCTCCATGTTTTTGCTGTTCTCCAGTGGATATCATGTAAAGCAAGACAAAGCCTTGAATATGAGTTAGCAACCCTAAGCAGCATTTACAGGAAAGACCTTTGCACTACTGAAGTGTCGTGGTTGAAATGATAGCGAATTTAGCTGCTAGTATCTGTCTCAGTTGAGTCCTTGAACTACAGTTTTTCGAAGGTTTGGAATTGCTGAACTGGGATGGCCTTTCACCAGGATTAAATGGTGAAGCACATGCCTAATAGAAAGACCTCCTCTCTGGCTTTCAATACCCATTTCAAAGGATGGAAGCACAAATGCTTTTTAAATGTTGTGATTTTTAATGAGAAAAACAGTTTTGTTCACTTAGAGATGAAATTCCTACCCCTTTTTGGTTGAAAATATAGTAGGAGAGAAATTCAGCATGGCAGACTTCAGCCATAATGGCTGAAGTTCAGCATCAGGGCAAATCAGCAATTTTATATTAATGGCTGATGTTTACTAGATACTATTACTGGTGCAGAAGTCCTTTGTAATACAAGTGAAACAAACTAAATATTAAGACTTCTAAGCAGGATGTTCAAAATGTGAAGGGAACACACTCTGTATACGAAGCCTAAGTATTTCATTCTCTTTTTAGGTCCTGCCCTAAGTGTGAAAGTTATGACTGATGAGAGCGGAAAATCCAAAGGCTTTGGCTTCGTTAGTTTTGAAAGACATGAAGATGCCCAAAAAGTAAGCTTTTGGACTTCATTTTAGGAATCCTATAACTGAGACCCAAATAATGTGTTTCACTGAGTGATTTGAAATCTCGGAATTCATTAAGGGTTTTTAATTGGTCAAGGACACTGCAAAACCAGGTGTCTGCTTCCTAAATGACTTAGCATAGTTTCTGTCATTTAGAATGCTTTCCTATGAGCAAATATCAGTTGGTTTGAGGAGCCTGTTAAGATACTCTAAGACAGCTGGAACTAGTGTAGAAATGGGGAATCTTGAATAATTTAATAACCTGTTGTAGGTGGGCTTAAAGGTCTTGATGAGATTTGCACTCCCTCACGCTGGGCACCATACAAGCATAGAAAATTATTATATCTCTGCAAAACCCAGATGAATCATTGGATCCAATTTGGTTGCACAAAACATTTGTGCAAGGCAGAAAGGATTGTGTTTTCAAACTTCAGCACTGCGAAGTCAGCAGGAAAGCTATTAGTTTTATGGAGCATGTTTGGCACAGCTATAAGAAAATAGTTATAGAGCCCTGTGATGTTGCTGTTACTCTGAAGAGTAACTTTGGAAGAAGGTTCCTTTTAATTTGTGTATATATCTATAACATGCCAGTATGCTGTATAACTTAATTCTTTGTCAGCTGGTTGCTTTGATGTGTCAGTTCACTGTGGCAGTAGGGACATAGCATCAGGAGAAAAACTCGGCACAGAACAAATCAGGGCAACAAATGAAGTTTGCTTTTCAAAAGGCATTTTGGTGATTTGTCAGTGCTGCAAGTGTACAAGCAAGAGATTAGAACAAATCCTGTCTGTCTTACATCTACATTGTTCAGTCTTGCATACATTCATTGATGAATTGTTTCTCTTGCGGTAGTCAGGATCCCATTTTGGGTGTTTTAAGTAACATAAAATTCTAGTATCTCAGTAAATATGTGTTTAATGGCTTTGATCATGGAGGTATACAATACAAGAAGTCACAACTGGTAACTTCTGGTTTTAAATTAATTGAATAAATCTGTGCCAGAGTTTTCACATCTTAATAGTTGTAACTCAAAACAGCATAAAGGAAAAAAGTTTGTATTTTCATACTCTTTAAGTATTAATGAAAGAATAAAAATTTAAAAAAAAAGCTGTATATGCCAGCTGTAGCTTAACATATAGGAAAATCTGGTAGATACTACAGTTTGAGATGTTAATTTTAAAAACAGAAGTCAGGTTTGTGAATTTGAGCTTTTCAACTCAATTTGCTTTCTTTTCTCTACCTTTAGCAAGGTAGGGCTGGAGAAATAGTGCTTCATTATGTGACTTGATTTGTTGGTTGGTTTTTTTTCCAACTTCATATAAGAAAAGTTTTCTGCATCTGTTGTTACTTTTCTTTAACTGGGCAGAAGCGCACAGAAAGCAATTTCCATTTTACTTTAAGTGGAAAGTCTCAGGGTATTTTGTTTCAACCGGTGATATTTTAGGTGGATTGGCTCTTTTTCTGGAATCCTTATGTAACTTTCTGTATTTGAATTACATTTTTTTTGTATGCCTGAAAAACACCAGAATACAAAGCACTGCTAACCTGTTGTTTGTTAATGAAGGCTGTAGATGAGATGAATGGGAAAGAGCTCAATGGGAAACAAATCTATGTTGGCCGGGCTCAGAAAAAGGTGGAAAGACAGACGGAGCTGAAGCGCAAGTTCGAACAAATGAAGCAGGACAGGATCACCAGATACCAGGTTCAGTTTCAATTCAAGAGGACTAACTTTATTCTGTGATATTTTTAGATTTACACAGACCATTTGCTTTCAAAAATAACTTGGCTTTTTTTTTAGGGTGTAAACCTTTATGTGAAAAATCTTGATGATGGGATTGATGATGAGCGTCTTCGAAAAGAATTCTCCCCATTTGGTACAATCACTAGTGCAAAGGTAAAGTAAAGTTTGCAGATTGTCCTTGTCCTTTCTTTGAAAATGAACAGTGGTCCTTCACCAAGGAAGAGTGATTTATTTCATTGACTTAACAGATGTGACCCAGTCACTTACCACTGCTACTATGTTCTATATATGTGGACATCTGCTTTTTGATTATTGTACATCTCGGGTTAAACGCATGTGATCATCCTTTCTTGAAATAATCATAGAATCATAGAATAGTTTGGGTTGGAAGTGACCTTTAAAGTCATCTAGTCCAACCCTCCTGCAATGAGCAGGGATGTCTTCAACTAGATCAGGTAGCTCAGAGCCCCGTCCAACCTGACGTTGAACCATCTTTGTGATGGGTTTATGCCACAAAAAAAATGCTACATCTCAATCTGCATGAAATCAAGAGTCTGAGTCTATCTATAGATTTCAGCTTTCTTTGTATATAAAATAGAATAGAATCATTAAGTTTGGAAAAGACCTCTAAGATCATCAAGTCCAAAATAAACTGAAATAATACTTATATTGATGTGAGAAACTACATCTTTTCAGTACAATAGTGTGCTCATTATGACTTCAGTGAGGTTGTCATCTGTATTCAGTAAACAGCTATTAATTAATTAATTACAGGTCATGATGGAAGGTGGCCGCAGCAAAGGATTTGGATTTGTATGCTTTTCATCACCAGAAGAAGCCACCAAAGCTGTCACAGAAATGAATGGTAGAATTGTGGCTACTAAACCATTATATGTAGCTCTAGCCCAGCGTAAAGAAGAGCGCCAAGCTCACCTCACCAACCAGTATATGCAGAGAATGGCAAGTGTAAGAGCAGTACCTAATCCTGTAATCAACCCTTACCAACCAGCACCTCCTTCAGGTTACTTCATGGCAGCTATCCCACAGGTATGTATGCAGAGGAGTAACTGAATGTTTTGTACTGTGTATAAAATCTGCATAATTTCAGCATTCTAATTTCATAGCAGAAAGGTGATGGACTGTTCAGCATGCCCTTCAAAGGTAACAAAGTTACACAATGTTTTTGTATTTGACAGACTCAGAACCGTGCTGCATACTATCCTACTAATCAACTTGCTCAACTTGCTAGACCTAGTCCTCGCTGGACTGCTCAGGGTGCCAGACCTCATCGTAAGTCACTTCTTTACCTCTTTCCAGTGATTGCGGTAAACTCCATAGCATTTACCTTTGCACTTTTAAGTACATTTTCACGGCATTACAGTATCAGTCTTCTCTTTGTCATGTTAGTGGTATTACTTCTGAACTCTCTTCACCATTCAGTGTTTCAGCATCTAATTTAATGTATTTTCTCTAAAACATAGCATTCCAAAACATGCCTGGGGCTATCCGCCCAGCAGCACCCAGACCACCATTTAGTACCATGAGACCAGCTTCTTCACAAGTTCCACGAGTCATGTCAACACAACGTGTTGGTGAGTTTCATTTATGCAAACTTTAAGTATTAGACTTATTTTTTAATTTTGCTGATTCAGAATGATCTCTCAAAAGCATTTGTAAGTTCAATATCACATGTGGTAACACTTCCCTCCTTTTCTGGCTCTTACTACATGAGTAAGCTGGTATCACCTTCTAGTAGTTGCTTTAACTATTGTCCCAGCAAAGACTCCTGCTGTGGTCCCATTTGTTTAGCATGAAGCATTTCTTCTTTTAGTGTGCATTTTAATAATACTGTATGACAGCTTCTGCTATTTCTAAGCATCGTGGCAATTGTAATAATAGGTTGCATGTAGAAATACCGAGATGATAGAATTTTAGCTCTTATTATTTTGTCATAGAATACTGTGAGCCAGTATCATGTATGCAGAAGCTGCACATCACTGAATGAACCAGAATTGATTGTAATGGAGTCTTAATTCTCTCAGAATGTATTAGGCAGTAGTATTTTTTAGCAATCTACTTCGTGAAAGTATCCTTTTTTTAGGATTACTATTGATGTAATGTGCTCAGGAAATCAAATGTCTTTTGAGGTTAGGATGAAATTAAATTAGTACTCAACCAAAGTGAATGTTTTCTCACAAATCTTTTTTCAATAGCATGTGAGAAAAGCAATTCATTAGTGAAATGACTGGAAAGTAACGTCCAGTAAATTTTGAGCTTTGAACCTTTAGATATGACCAGTGATGTGACAGTTGACAATACTACTAAGATGAATCTGTAATACAGTACCTAAATTAGGTATTCTGTTTGGGCTGGTTTGGTTTTTGGTGGGGTTTTTTTGTGTTGTTTTTTTTCTCATAACTTGTACAGTGTGGGCTAAATAAAACAAATACTCACATATGGAATTATGTTATTTTTTCAGCTAATACATCAACACAAACAATGGGTCCACGTCCTGCAGCAGCAGCTACTGCAGCTACTCCTGCTGTACGCACAGTACCACAATACAAATATGCTGCAGGTGTTCGTAATCCTCAGCAGCATCTTAATACACAGCCGCAGGTCGCTATGCAGCAGGTATGTCATTTTAGGAACTGGTCCATGCTTCTGCTAGTGTTTTTTGCAGAGGAAGGAGGGGGGCACTTATGATTGAGTTGTCTTTGTTATTCTAGAATTCAGGCTCTGCAGTGTGGCAGCAGAGTTATAGCCTTGGGGTTTTAAGTATATTTTAAGTTCACCTGGGACAGGATGTGATCCTGTGTTACTTTGTATTTTCCAGTTGCTTGATACCTTAGCCTGAATTCTCCTTGTGTTTGCTCCACAATGGAGCGGTTTATGCTAATCACCCAGCTCTAACCAGCTCTATTTGATTAAATTGACTTAGTTGTAATTTATTCCATGTTTCTGACAGTGTAGGTATTGTTTATGCTGAGTTGTGGAACATTAGATATTTGAAGCTGCACCTAATTATGAACTAGAATTTAATTTTGAAATGGTGTTAAATTAACTTGCAGCCTGCTGTCCATGTGCAAGGTCAGGAACCCTTGACTGCTTCCATGTTGGCTTCTGCCCCTCCACAAGAACAAAAGCAGATGTTAGGTATGTACATGATACCTTTCTCTATTCCTTGTAGCAGAAGAACAAAGTACTCTTTCATCAATCTTAAAATGTGGAATAAATGGTTTTAGCAGTAGAACAAAGTGTTTGTTTCCCTTTTCCCTTAAATCTAGGCTGTGTTTGTCAGATAAGATTTGTCACTCTGATAAGCTTTTTTCTCTCTAGGTGAACGTCTATTTCCTCTCATTCAAAGCATGCACCCTACTCTGGCGGGTAAGATCACTGGTATGTTGTTGGAGATTGACAACTCTGAACTCCTCCACATGCTCGAGTCTCCTGAGTCTCTTCGTTCGAAGGTAGGCGGACTTTTGCCTTACCTAGTTTTATCAGCAATTAAGACTACACTGATTTAACAGATGTTTATACTGGCACAGTTGAGTAGCAGCAATGCAACAGTGGCCCAGGGCAAGAAGTTAGGATATCCTCTTTCAGAGGGTGGCAGTGACTTACATTAGCATGAACTGGAACTGTAACGTTATCCTTTTCTTTTTAACAATGCAGGCATTGTTTGTGCATGTAATTTAAACTGTTTCATTAACTTAAATATACAGAAATTACTAAGCTTCCCTTTATTAATTTTTCTTTTTTACTTAACAGGTTGATGAAGCTGTAGCCGTACTACAAGCCCACCAAGCTAAAGAGGCTGCTCAGAAGGCAGTTAATAATCCCACTGGGGTTCCAAGTGTTTAATAAGTAAGTTTTCTGAGCACTGTATAGTTTTGTGGGTTGAGTGGGGCAATAGTCCTTAGTCCATGGCCTTGGAAGCAGGATGCTTCCAGGCTCTGTATCATTTGCAGCCACAGAAAGTAGCAGCTATGGTCACAGTTGTAAACAAATTTCGTGCTCAATCCTGTTGTCCGGTTCTGTAGCTCTTGGTTAGCAAATGCTACTGACATTTTGTCTTGCCTATTTAGCTGGAATCAAAGCTTTGTTTTTAACAGCATATTTAGCTAAAATTAGTTTTAGGCATGTGTGCAAAAAATGTGCAGTTCTGTCAAACACTACTGTTGAGTGTTGTTCAAGAGGAACTTCTGGAATTGAAATAAGCTTAAAACAATACTCCAACCCTATTTTTCCTTAGAAATGAAATTGCTAGTTTAAACTATAATTTGTATATACTTGCCAAAATCTCAAATTACACAGTAATTAAAAACTAAACTACATACTGTCTTGACTTCACTTTTTGGTGAATTTTAACTTTAATGCCAATTAAAATACTGTCATGGTTTAACCCCAGCCACAACTAAGCACCACGCAGCCACTCACTCACTTCCCCCCACCCAGTGGGATGGGGAGAAGGTTGGGAAAAGTAAAACTCGTGGGTTGAGATAAGAACAGTTTAATAGAACAGGAAAGAAGAAACTAATAATGATAACACTAATAAAATGACAACAGTAATAATAAAAGGATTGGAATATACAAATGATGCACAGTGCAATTGCTCACCACTCCCTGATTGATGCTCAGTTAGTCCCCGAGCGGCGATCCTCCCACTTCCCCCAGTTTATATACTGGGCATGACATCACATGGTATGGAATACCCTGTTGGCCAGTTTGGGTCAGCTGTCCTGGCTGCGTCCTGTGCCAACTTCTTGTGCCCCTCCAGCCTTCTTGCTGGCTGGGCATCAGAAGCTGAAAAATCCTTGACTTTAGACTAAACATTACTTAGCAACAACTGAAGACATTAGTGTGTTATCAACATTCTTCTCATACCTAACTCAAAAGCATAGCACTGTACCAGCTACTAGGAAGACAATTAACTCTATCCCACCTGAAACCGGGACAAATACTGATTTTCTTTATTGCCTTCTGTGGGGTTAGTATCTTAATTTTGCATGACAGGAAGAGGCAAAAGGTGGTATCTTTATAATTTTGAAAGGGGAAAATGTTGTGCAATTGAGGATGATATAGGAGTCTATTCTCAGTCCAGTTAGGTTTTGCCTGTCTATGAACTTAGTTTCCACGTTTATAGCTATCAGTTGAAGATGACTGCTTTAACATTTGATTACTTAATTTTCTTTTTTTCTTGGTCTTCTCATTTCTGCAACTTTCCTTTTGGAGGCAGAATTCAAGTCATGTTTTTTCCACACTTCTTTCTTTTTCTGGTTTGTGGGGTATTTTTTGGTTTTGTTTTTGTTTTTTGCTAGTGACACTTTCACACTGGGGATAAAGAAGTGCTGAATAAGTTGTTTGTCCTAAACTAAGATGCCCAAACTTTGAGACCATTACTCTGTACGCTCCATGGTGTTTTAGTAATTGGAAATTGAAAATACTGCTAGTGTAGTTACTTGGTGAGCCTTGGTATGCTGGCCTCAAAAGTAGAGGTGACCTGCAGTCAAGTTAGTTACAGTAACAAATTATTGTGTACAGCTGCTGTGCAGAGTACTGTTTAGTTCTAGACTCAGTTTTGTCTTACCAAATACTTCACTTCCATGTCTCTGAAGTGGGGGATACCTCTGATACACTGCTTGTAGAGAACTTTGGTATGATTGATGCTGTGAATGCCCAAAGTGCTGTCAGGATTACAGTTGCAGAAAGCGTGTGAGAAAACATAAGGTGCTGCTTTGATTTCAAAACCTGACAACATTGTTTTTGTTTGCAGAAAGATCCGGGACTACAATCTAGAACTTCGCTTCACCGAAGAAAAAAAAAAATCTAAACATGGAAAAACTATTAAATATTGAGAAAAACATTGCAAAATATAAAATAAATAAAAAAAGGAAAGGAAACTTTGAAGCTTATGTACAGAGCAACGCCGGGGCTAGCAAAACAAATGCTAGTCCTAGATTACTTATTGATTTAAAATTTAAAAAAAAATAGTAAAATAAAAAATACAAATTAATGTTTTATAAACCCGGGGGAAAAGAATTTTCAGCACAGTACAAAAATTTAAAGCATTCCTTTCTTTAATTTTGTAATTCTTTACTGTGGAAAAGCTCAGAATATCACCACTGTTTTAGTTGACAGTGAGAATTGATAGCTGAGCAAAGAAACGTAATTTGGATTATAAAATTCTTGGTTTAATAAAAATTCCTTAAACACTGATTTACTTGTGATAGTTTCTTTTGTACAGTGTACTTCTGACAAGGTTGTCATTGAGTGTGCTGAGTTAGAATCCCACTCCATAGTATGTTTCAGCAGTTTCTAGAGATCAGCCTACATTTAGCCACCTGTTACTGATAATATAAACTTAGGCATTAAAACAAGTCAGAAGAGCAGCTACATCCATATCTGGGTTTTAAATCCTTAATAGCATGATGTCTGAGCTCTTGTCGTTGTCTAATTGGAAATAAACCTTTAAATACCCTACCTAGAGATATTGGTAAGAAATGTTACTACAAAAGGCCTGTGTTGGAATTGTGTAACATAACACATGATCCCATTTAACCACCTGCATGTGGTGTTCATTCTCACATTTTGGTGGAAGGAACAATCACTACATAGGTCTCTGGCTGCATCCTTAGATGGCTGAGGAACCCTGAGATGAAGGCAGAGTAGTATGGATATAGGTGAATGAGCAAGGATTGACTGCAATACAGTGTTGCAAAATTCCATTACTATGAATGTATGAACACAAGGCATTCCTAGAACAAAAAAGGTGAGGCTTCAGGGTATTAAAAATTGAATGCATAGTAACCAAAAGGTCACGCTTTTTGCACAGTGAAAATCCTTCTGTGGACAGGACTGCTTAATCCTCTGAGTCGGATATTTCTGATGCTGTGTTTCTTAACAAGTGAATGGCTACTGTTAGCTTTTTGGTTTTTTCTCTGTTAGTAGGAGACCAATTGGTTTAATTTTAGGTTTGCTGTATTTGGGGTTTTTTAATGTGCTGAACAAATCCTTGTCAGAGGCAACTTTGAAAGTCTCAGCTAGCTCTTTGGTAACTGAATTATTGAATTGTTACTGAAAAAGAATACAGTTAGGGTACTTTAAATTGGCAGATTTGAAAACTGAGAAAGTGATCTGAAATGGTATGCTGTTCCTTATTACTTAATATTCACCACTTCACTGCATCACAAAGATCTTTTCAGTAACTTCCAGTTGTAATGTGTCACAGAGTTCTGCATACAGTGAGCTTACGCAAAATTTCATGTCTTCATCAAATTAGTGAATGGTGAAATAACTCTAGCAGTTTTACTGGCTCCAGGAATCTGCTGCTTCCTGCAAAAGGTGACCTTCCTGGTTCATCCTTATATTTGACTGTCATTTAAAAAATAGAAAAGGGAGTGCCTTTTTAAAATAAATTCCTGCTGGATCTAAATCTGATCTAGTGTACCATACCATAGAAATAATTCTGTCTTCAGTCATGGCTGATCGGACCTTCAGGTCAGCTTGTGTGTTAGTCACTAAAAAGAGCATCCAAGCAAATGACCAATGCCAGCAAAAGTGAGAAGAGCCAACAGTAGCACATGAGCTGTTTAATTTGCTACAGGACCTTACTGAGGTTGACAGTTTTGCAGAATTAAAACTGTTAAATGAATAATCAAGAGAGACAGAGTAACAAGAGCTTTTGTTGTAAACAAACTTTTACTGTCTAAGTTAGCAGATACATTGAAGCTGTCCACCCACGGAGGGGTTACCCTACGGTTGTTGCCTTGCGCTTTTTTCTCCCTTTCTTTCAGGGAGTACTTTGTGCAGACTTGCACAATATGAGAGGCATTTTCTACCCAGTTTAGCCCATAACTGGCTCTGTAAGCTGCTTAATCAAAATTGATAATGCAGGAGGAGAAAGGAAGCAGTGGAGACGGCATGTCCTTTCACAGAGAAGAAAAAACCTGGCAGGCTGGTATGAGGGAAAGAAACAAAGATCTGTTAGTCATGGAGGAAGGCATGACCCTTAGCCACTGCAATCCATTGGGCTCCAGTTGCTGTATTTAAAGGATACAGTTTCTATGGAGTCACAGGAAGAGGTTAGTGAGTTCTTTCTGGAAGGCTCTCTGAAATCTGTGTTGGGGGTGCGGGGAATGTCAGTGTTCTCTGGACCTGTTGCAATGTTAAAGCCCTACAGTATGCTTTCTGAAGTCCCACAAAAGGCAACTCAAGAGTGGCCTTATTCTTCCCCTTGTGCAAAGATCTTCACACTGGATTTTTTTTCTCTTAAGTGAATTTGAGAAATAAGCCTAGTATGGAGAGGTGAATTGGTTTAAATGAATCCTATTTAAAATCCCTCACTTCACTATAAAAGCATTAGGTTAAGCTTGTACAATTCTTATGTTCAGTCCTGTCCTGATGGAGGCAGACTGGGTTAGCCTTTAATTTGCAATCTCACTGAAGTGTATGACTATAAGAATTTTTGAAATTGGATGGTAAATCCTACGAAGGAGGCGGTTCAAACAAGATAGGTACATGATAAGAGGTTGAGTGTACAACCTTAATTTTATGTAAAGTTGACTATAAAAACATGAAAGCTTTGGAGACAGTTTTAAAGACCTAAAAATACTTAGCACTGTAATAGAAATGTTGAAGAATTGGATGATACTTAGTGAGAGGTCTAAAGGATGACATAAAGACCTAACTATTTGCAGGAGTTTCAGGGCCCTAGCAGGAAAGTAAGAGCCCACCTCACTTCTGCTTGTTTCCTTAGATAAGAGGTAATGTGTCTTCACTGAGTCTGCTGGAGTTAAACCAAACTAATTTTTGTGTTTTGTAAGAATGTGCAAGTTATTTAACCTTTTGGGTATGGGGAGGGGGGAGAGGGAAACTGAAAAAGGAGGAAAAGAGGGGTGCTTCCAGATCTGTAGAAGATTTTTGTGGGTGTGTCAAGCGCTAGCATCTGTACCAGCCTGAAATCCTGGGTAACTTTTGTGATGGAAGGAAACAGGCAATTCTGCTGAGGTGATCACAACAGCTTAAGAAAACAAAATCCTGGGTTGGTTGGGTTTACTTCTTCCCACTCTTGATTACATGGTAATTCCCCACTGTATACCACAGACACCTATTTAATCAATGTCTTCTATTTTTTTCTTTAATCTTAGAGATAGTGAACAATGTGTTTGTTAGTACCTCTATCAATGTATCTTTAAGAGTACTACTGTAAAACAATGCACCACACAGAAAAATCAATTTATTCAATAGCGGTAGAGCATTGTTCTCTTCGGTTAATACACAGCTTAACTGGCAGTCACCTCCTTCTGCCACACGTTCCCTCTAGCGTGTGTCAGAGGCTTACACTGATCCTCTGCCACCCTGCATCCACCCAATGCTAAGCTGATTTTGCCCAATTGTGTGGTATTTCATTCCTTCAGTCCTTCCCTGTCTTCCATTCTAACCACAGCAAAAACACTTCAGAGCTTAGCAGCAGCCAAAAGCCTGCTCCTGAAATGAATGGCAATTTGAATGGGTGAACAGTACTGTATTCACCATCTACTTTCCCAAGCAGAATGTGGCTTTATGGGCAACTAAATCAAAGGTTTGCTGCAGAGATAATCTAGATTGCATGCATTCTTTTTGCTGTTCCACAGAAGTCCAGGAAATTTGGATTTCACTGGGTGCTGGGGGAAGAAGGGGCAAGGTGGTGGAAATCAAGATGTTCCCGAGTCAGGCAGTGTCATTACAAGTTGCCACACTAGTTAGGTGTCTACCCTTGAAAAAGTGGTATCTTCAGTCCTTGTATTTCCTTCTCGGGAGTGTTGTTAATGATTGCTATGGACAACTGGATGTTGGAAGACAGCTACTTAACATTTTGGATTAGGATTCTTGGCAAAAAGGTATTCTGAATTCTGCATCTAATAGACATACTTCGGCTTGGAATAACTGGGGGTGGGGGGGAACCAAACCCAAAAAAACAGTCTTGTCCTTGGGACCACAATTCACTAGGCTTTCATAGTTACATGTTTCTGGCTGTCCTACTTGGGATTAAGTAGGAAGCTCCATTTCTATGATTGATCCTTCCATTGGAGTTGCTCCCCAAACACAGGCAACATTTTCACTCCCTGCTGGAGTAGTTTAAACTCTAGTGAGCTCTTCACAGCTTCCCATGTACATGAGTTGTCCCTGAGAGGCGATTAGAGGTTAGAAATACCTCCTGAGTAAATCCAGCACAGACTTGGATTTACTGGAACCAGAAGCTACTCTCAAAAAAGTCTCAGTTCTCTCAGATTACCTTTTATGATGGAAGTGGGCACTCTTTAAACTGCCCTGTTCCCCTTGCCTCCTTCCCATTTTCCCTTTGATCAACTAGTTCTTTCCTTACAAAGGGAAATGCCACATCCTACGTCTCGCTACATCAATTAGCTGCTTCATCAACATCATGGCAAGTGATACTAAGAGTCCCATGCCACCTTTGGAAAGAGAAGCCATAGGAAGGCTACAGGGTCTGGCTGGGAAATGCTGCAGGTCTCCTCTGACAGAGTTTCAAAGGCAGCATGCTGACTTAAAGAGAATCTGCAGCTCAACTGGTAGCGAACGGCGTGAGTGAAGGACCTCCCTATTCTCATGTGAAGACTTGAAACCTGGGGAATCCTTGTATGCCCTACTCCTGCCAGGTGATGATTTGCATTTAGGATCCTGTCTTTTCTGAGCTGCAAGTCAGCATCTCGCTCACTGCCTCCCCTCTTCACAGGTTTTTCCTCAGTTGACAAGCCAGGAGGAGCGCGCGCACACACACACAAAAAAACCCCCCAAACCTCAAGATACGATTCCTCAACAATGCTGGCAGAGACTTCAGCACACCAGGAGCCTAAATGCTGTTCTTTAGGCAACTGTGAGTCCACATGGTACAACTACCTCTGCGAAGGAAAGCTTTTAGTCCCGCTTACCTTCTGTAGGATGTGGTCAATAATGATGGATAGTAGCTGTATCCAAATGAAAATGCAGCTGGCAGGGTTACAAATCCTTGGGACATGGCATTTGAAGTGAACACAAATTTTAAACAAATGTTTTCAGCTACACTAAGACCACAAGGTACACGTGTAGTTGGAGCTCCCTTTGAAGGACTTGAGCAACAAGAACAAAGAAAGAATATTGTCAAAAAATAATTTGAAACTTAGATTTCTCACTTCTTGTGTTGGGATTGAATGTAATCATTAAGAAAAAAAGGAAATGGG